TCAAAAAAAAAAAAAAAATACAATTTTCGTTATTTCATATCGAAACAATTATCTTTTGTAGAAAAAAAATTTTTTTTTGCACTCAAATACTTCCATACTTTATTCTTTATTACAGTAAACAATTTTTTTTTGTTTTTGAAAAATTGTAAGCTTTTTGAAAAAATTTCCAAAATTTTTAATTTTTGTACATTTTCTTTACATTAAAAATTTAAATTCCCGAAAATTTTTCCTTAATTTATATTTACATTTTTTTATTCTCTAAAAATTTAACTTAACTAGATAATTTTCTAAATTTTTATTTTCCAATTTTATTTCCTAAAATTTCGTACGCAATTTACACTTAATTTTTTAAAAATTCAATTCTCTTTTTTTTTGCCTTTGGAAATTCTTTACAAAAATCTTACAAAATTGAACAGAGATTTTTCGAAGAAAATATTTAACAAACTTCCTAACATTTTTTTATCGAAAATATTTTTTCTCTATCTTAAAGGGAAATAAGATGCCAATGGAGTATTTATAAAAAATAATTGAAATTAATTATTGCGCTTTTATCATTCCAGTCTCGTAAGAATTATTTTCATTTTTTTTTTTAAATCTCAGAAACTTTTTTTTTCAGATGCATTCTTGAAAGACTTTTGTATTAATAAATTTCAATTTTCTATTGTGGTCCAATTCGACCGTACTCGCTCGCGAAAGTCTTAGATAATGAATAGTTTTGAATTGCCCCGTATTTTTATTTTTGATCAAGAACATCCTAAAAACGAACATGTCCTATTAACATGTCTACAATTTAACATGGATACACGAGCATTTTGTCGAAATTTAGAACATTTTTTTTTTATATATATAAAGACAATCTTTTATTCGTCGTGTGCGATAAAAAAAAATATAGGAACAATTATTAATTTTTTCTTGAGCCATATGAATCAATTCTTTGAAATCTCCTTTTTTTTTGCAGATTCAAAACAAATATAACTTAAAAGAAACTTTTCAAATAAAATCATATTATTTGAAGAAAAAAAAAATAATATACTGAATTATTTTCAGAAATGGAATGAAAAAAATAAAATAGAACTTCGATAAAATGGTAAAAGAAAAGAAATTTTTGATTGAACGAAAATTTGTCAAATTCGGAGTATGAAAAATTATAATTTCAAAGAACTGACAAGAATATTTTCGATTAAAACAAAAAAATAAAACAAAAAGAAAATTCAAAAGGGAAAATTAAAATATTAAAAAATTAAATAGTCGATACTTTCGTAAATTGAAAAGTATGACTCATTTTACAAGGAAGCAACTCGAAATCGTTTTTTCACAGAAATGATAAGCGCTTTTTTTTTTACTTTTTCTTGCTCAACGAAGGCTTGTTTTTCGAAGGTCTCAGCTAAAAAAAAAATCGCGAGATCGCACTTTGAGAAACGTTTTGTTTTTTTCTTCTTCTTTTTTTTAGTACGGCCCGTTCCTAAAATCCAACTAGAAAACTCGTGTACGACAAATCGCTTACTAAAAGTAATTATTTAAAGATAATGTTTGCAGTTAACTAGCACGTGATTATGTATGTACAATATATACAATTTCGCGTCTATTACATCTTATGCGTGCATTAATGAACTGACTAATGATCGGTATTTACGTGTGATTTTCATTATTTTTTTTTTAATTTTATTTCTTTTTCGTTTTGTTTGCTTGTGTTTAATTAATTTTGGATTTACGCGAGTCTCGCCATTTTACAAAAAAAAACAATAATAATAATAGTAAATTTACTGTTAAACAGCAAAACAAAAACTCATTCTACATCCGGCTATTTCGTCGGTCATCCTCTCGCATATACAGATTCATTTATATATTTATGTATATATCACATTGTGTTGGAAAAAATCTGGCGGTCTAAAATTATACTTCGCTTTGAGATCCTGGAGTACTAGGGTCACTTTCTTCTTTTTTTTACAAGGAAATAAATAATTTAAGTTTTTTTTTATCATCGCATAGATTTCAATAGCGCAAAAATAGTCGAGAAACATCACCCGTTTTTTTTCAAGTGGAACATAAATCTTAAATTGTGATTAATTTATAATTTTACACAAAAATCATTGAGAACTTGTAACTAAATTATTTCAGAAATAAAATTTAAATGCTACAGAAAAATAAATATCTATTTATCGATTTTTTTAAATTCAATTGAAACGAATTTCTAAATCGAGAATAATTTACGAAAATAAATTTATTAATTAATTTGAAATCAATTTATTGATTTATTAATTAATTTATTGACTTATCAATTAGTTTATTTTATTAATTAATTAATTTATTAATTTACTTATTGAATCATTAATTTATTTATTAATTTATTGATTCATTAATTTATTTATTAATTTATTTATTGATTCATTAATTTATTTGATTCATTAATTCATTTATTGATTTATTAATTAATTTACTAATAAAATTAAAAAGAGCATGAATCCAAAAATTTGAATGATCACAAATTAAGTTCTATATTCCGCATTAAAAAATTTCAATAAATATTGAAAATTCCAAGGGTGACCAAAGTAATCTAGGGTTTTTAAGTTTTTTTTCTCAAAATACGCCACAAATGCATCACCTTAATGTTTACAATCTTAATTTGTAAGTTTTCTAAAATCATTTATCTATCCTTTCTTTTCACAATTGAAAATTTTCAACGATCATTGTCTAAATAATCTTATATCTGATATCCGATGCATTTGTGGCTTCTTATCACAGGATTGCAGTGGAAAATCTCGCCCCATTGCTTTTCGAATTTAGTCCCCTTACAAGAGATCCTCTCACAAACAAAATTAACAAAAACGAAAAAAAAAGTAAAGAAAAATAGAAAAAATTAAAAAAAAGGAAAAGAAAAGAAAGAAGAGCAGAAGAAGGAAAAAAACGAATAGAAAAAGCAAAATAATGAATAAAAATAAAGGAATCGACGACAATGGAAGAAAATCGCGAAAAATTCGATAAAGAATGAAAAATATTTATTATTAGTAATTATTGAGATTATTAACTAATAATTATTAATTCTGATAATCAACCATTTTAAAATTAACTATTATTGATTTGCCAATTATTAATAATTAACTATTATTAATTTATCAATCATTAATAATTAACCATTTATCATTCTTGTTTAATTAACCATTTATTATTCTTGTTTAATTATCCATGATTAATTAACCATTCCGTGATTAATTAAAATTCTCGATTAATGATCAACTATTAATTCATATAATCAATGTTTACATATTAATTAATTAATTTTATTATAAGTTAAAAATCAAAATCAGTCTCATCTCCATAAAAAATTGATTTCTTTTCTTATTCTCCTCACGGACGGATGAACTTGTATTGAAAACGAAGCAAAAAAAAAAACTGAGAGTTAAACTGTATAAATTGTAAGACACTTTTTTTAAAAAAAAAGAAAACTTGGTCTTCAATTTTCTTCCAAAAATTTTATAATGAAAAATGTTTTTGTAATTAACAAACAAACAAAAAAAAAAAAAGCCGAGAATCTCTTGTAATCAGCAGATGAGTAGACTTTCGTTAATAAACAAACGAAAAACAAACGGAACATAAATTTCATTCACGAAAAATGAAATCATTCATTTAACAATGAAATCATTTTAACAGTGTTCACATTCGTTCCAAAAAAAACTAAATAGAGACGCATGAAATAGTATCGAAATTTTGTGTGTGTTTTATTTTTTGAGAATTAAATTTTATCAAATTATGAATTTTAGAATTTGGAATAATTTTAAAATTAATAAATTAGAATTCTTATGTTCATAATATCATTCGTAATAATCTAATAATATAATTTAAATTTATAATAATAGAATTAAATTCATAATAATTAAAGTAGAATTAAATTCGTAATAATTATGATATAATTAAATTTACAATGAAATGAAATTTATATGAAATAAAATAATTTTATTTACTATCATTATTAACTCGAAGTGAAAAAATAAATTATTTTTATTTATTTAAAAATAGAACATTTTTTTTACAGTTTATCCAAAAATAGTCTTTTAAGTACAGAATTTTAATGAGATTCAAAAATACAAAAATATTCGCGTTTGATTGACTCATACGGATTGTTTATTTCAATTTAATTAAATGTTTCATTCAATTTTGTTTAATTTAATTTAGTTTAATTTCATTTCTTCAATTTAGTTTCTTTAATTGAATTTCTTGAATTTAATTTCTTTAATTAAATTTAAGTTAATTGAATTCAATTTAATTTCAGATTCCTTTTATTTCTTTCATTTCATTTCTTCAATTTAATTAATTTATTTTAATTCAATTGTCTCAAAAATTCTGTTTCGAAATTAATTTGACATTAAGGACAACAATTCTTTGAATAAATCTTAATTTCATATTTCATTTTCGAGTGGGAATTCAATTGTTTCTTAATTTGGAATCTCGAATTTTTTTTCTTGATTTAGAAAACTCGAATTTTTGTTTAATTTGAAAACACATTTTTTTGTTTCTCAATTTGAAAACTCAATTTTTGTTTAATTAGAAAAATCAATCAAAATTTTTTTAATTCAAATATTCAAATTTCTGTTTATTAATTTAAAAACTTAAATTTTTGTTTAATTTGAAAAATCAATTAAAATGTTTTTAATTAGAAAAATCGAATTTGTTTCTTAATTTGGACACTCGAATTTTTGTTTTAATTGAAAATCAAATTTTCGTTTCACAATTTGAAAACTCAAATTTTTGTTTCTTGTATTGGAAATTCAAATTTTTGTTTCTTATTTTGAAAACTCGAATTTTTGTTTCTTAAATTGACAATTGGAATTTTTGTTTAATTTGAAAAATCAATTAAATTTCTCTTAATTAGAAAAATCAAACTTCTATTTCTTAATTTGAAAAATCAATTAAAATTTTCTTAAATAAAAAAATTGAATTTCTGTTTTTTAATTTGGAAACTCGAATTTTTGTTTTATTTGAAAATCCAATTTTTGTTTCTCAATTTGAAAACTCGAATTTTTGTTTCTTAAATTGATAACTGGAATTTTTCTTCAATTTGAAACCTCAAACTTTCCTCTTTTTAATTTGAATTCTCGAATTTTTCTTTCCTAATTTGAAAACTCGAATTTTCGTTCAATGTAAAAACTCAAAACTTTTCTAATTCGAAAACTCGAAACTTCCGTTTCTTAATTCGAAAATTCAATTCTCAAAAAAAAAACACTTTCAACATTAAACCATAAATAAAAATTTCGACACAAATCATGCGCCATCAAACTAAATGATTCTTCTTTTCGAAACCCAATCGTGGGAGAAGAAAATTCCAACATTTTTGCCCTAAAAAATAGCTACACAGCGAGAGTTCGTACCTCGACATTTTTTTTGTTTAAAAAAGGTATTTTATCCTTATCAACATCATCACACGATGACCCGTTCAATCGTCGATTGATAATCCTAAAAATTGAGATCCGCCATCTACTTGGACGTTGGAACAGTTGGTGTCTGTCCCGCGATCCCCAGTCTTGATTGTGAAGAGGATGCCAGTAGTTCCTTGTAATAAGCGTTAAATTCAGGCGATAGAAAAGGAGCAGTTGTTGCCGTTGACATTGGCGGTGGAAAGAAACCATTGTACAATGCCGGATAATAAATTGGATCAATCATAGGTAGAAATTTCCCCGGATTATTCGGCAATTGTGCGAGAAATGACGAGGCATTTTGCGTCATATTTGGAACAAAACCCGTTGGTGGATTTGGTACACTGTGCCTACGTGTTGTTGATGAATCATTGCCATGTTTATCGATTTGTTGATTTTTATCACCTTCGCTAATGCGACGATGTAAATCGGGTGTTTTTCTTTTATCGATCGATGATAATTGAGTTGTTGTGCTATTCGATCTTGATGTTGAGGAATTTAATTGACTTAAATTCGGTACATTCGGTATTATTGGTTTACGTGGCGTGTAGGGTGAGACGGGTTCGGTTCTCACTGGATATTTGCCGTTTAATTGTCTCCTTTGAATTGGTATGCAATTCCTTGAGGTTGGACTTGGTAGGGGTGAATTGGAATGCTGTTTTTTTGGATTAACGAGTGTTATTTCGAGATTATTTGAGGCCATTGTCCGTGTGTCGAGGAGTGTGGGATAATTTGGAAATTGCTCCTTTCGCGGTGATGATGATGATTTGTTGTGCGAATTTCTTGTATCGAAATCAATGGGATTTGGTCGGGGGACAACGGGAACGCGAACGATTTCTAAGCTAGGCCTGAAGAAGGTTGGTTGTTGTTTTTGGGTGAGATCGAGAACGCCGGTTGGTAGGCACTCGTTTCTTGGCGATGGCGATGGTGGCGGTGGGGTTGTTTGAACGGCAACGACTGGAGGTAGATATTTTTGGGTGGTGAGAATGTCCTTGGGATTACCGTAGACCATTTTCTCGTTGTGTGCGAATATCGATCGGGATTGCGTGACCCTGGGAGGGACGGCACGTCCGTTTGCGATGACAGGCGGCACGAATCGGTGATTCGAGGATTGCGTTGTTGTCGTCGTTGTTGTTGATGTTGTATTCGAGACGGCAACGTTTGCATTTGCGTAGAGTTGCATTAGGGCTGCGTTCGAGTTCCCAAGGTTGATGACACGACTGACGGGTGAGGTACTATTTGAATTGTGATTTGTGGATTGTTTCGTTGGTGTTTGATGCTTGACGTGATGTTGTTGCTGCTGTTGTTGTTGTTGGTGGTGATGGTGATTGTGATGATTGTGATTCTCCTGAGATGACGGAAGTATGTGACCAATGTCGGGTGTCACCGTGACGGAGATGAGTTTCGGTATCGATGGCGCCGTGATTTGCGATAAGGAAACGAGGGGTTTTTCTTCAGACTTGACATTAGTGGGCGAAGGCGTTGTTGAATTCGGCTGAATGACACTCGGTCGCGAATCGACCGCTGTCACTTCCAATCCGCCTTCGCGTAATATTTCCAGTTTTTGCCTCTTGAAACTGGGAATGATAATTTTGTCCCTACTTGAATCGCTTTCGTTCTCGAGATCTATCACTTCGGGCGATCGTGGCGGTACAACTATTGGCTTTTCCAGGAAAATTGGCTTCTCATCGAAGAGGGGAATATTTTCCTTGCCCTGAGCCAGCAGGGTGGTTTGTTTTGGATCCAATTTGATTTCCTTGATATCCTTTTCAGGCGGCGGTGTCAGTGTGACGACGGTTGACGCATTCGACGTGACAGCGCTGACAGGTAGACCGGGCGGTGAACTCGGTGGCGGCACTTGTTGAGACATTAACGGACTATTGAGCTGCCTCTCTAAAACACTTTGACTGCCACCGGTTGGCGTCGTCGACGGCGTACTATTTGGAGTTGACGACGACGTGGTCGAGGAAGGTGGTGGACTTGGCAGTTGGCTGGCAGACGGCGCATTAGCAATTATTGTATTTAGAGATTTTAATCTATCAGGCTTCACTCTCACACTTCGTAACGATGACGTCTTCCCACTCTCCATTCGCGGCTTCTCACCAGGTAGAAGAGCCTAAAAATACAAAAATAAATTAATTTCTAAATCCCAATTCTTTTATTAAAAAAAAAACGCTCTTTAAACGATTTGATTATTTCTATTTTTCATATTCATATCAAAATTTCTATTAGTCTCTTGAAATTTACCGATGTCGACAAAATCGACTGCAATGAAGGAGTGACAGTCGTGGAATTAGGTGTTCCACTAGGAGGTGACGGCTCTCGTGAATATGAATCCTCAGGCTCATCTTTCACTTCGATTGCCTCCTCTGACGAACTACTTGTTTTCGTTCGCCTCCCATGAGCTGGCCTGATTTTTGACTCCTCGCCCCTTTGATATCTTTCGTAAGGCAACAATAACCTGCCAAATAAACACATAAATAAATCAAATGCAATTTTTTAAATATTGATTTTTTAATCAATTTATCATTAATATTTGTCTTTAATTCAAAATTTAAATCCTTTTTATCCAAACACTTTTCTTTTTGGAAAAATAATTTCTTTTACGTATTCTATTACCTTTCATAATGCCTTCTTGTAATTGTTGCAGCGCTTGTAGACGCAGTATTACCACCAATATCATCATAAATGGACTTCCAAAGACGGCCAGCACTCACAGAGTCATAACCACCCAATGTTTGTACTTTTGTATAAAAAAGGAATAGATCAACTGTAGAAGAAAAATTCAAATTAATACGTAAAATTTAGTAAGTTTGAAAATTTAATAATAATAATAATAATAATAATAATTAAGAAAATAATTAAATAAAAATATATCAAGTGTAGAAGAAAAATTCAAATTAATACGTAAAATTCAGTAAGTTTGAAAATTTAATAATAATAATAATAATAATAATAATAATAATAATTAAAAAAATAAATAAAAATATATCAAGTGTAGAAGAAAAATTCAAACTAATACGTAAAATTTACCATCTTTAAAAATTTAATAAAAATACATAAATAATTCAATGAAAATACAAATTAATAAATATAATATTAATATATAATATTAATAATATATTATTAAATTAATAAATATATAATTAATCATTATTGCTAACTAATTGAATGAAAATATCTAAATAATTTAATAAAAATACGTAAATAATTGAATAAAAATATCTTAATAATTAAATAAAAATACCTAAATATATAAACAAAAATACATAAATAATTAAATAAAATTATCTAACAGCGTTGCCATAAAATTTTTATTTTGTTTTTCCCCGATTTCTAGATAAAATTTTCACTTTTTTCCCGACCCTAAAGAATATTCTAATTCACTCCAAAATGATTAGATACTAAAAACAATATTCTATTACATTTATTTACGAATTTTTTGAATTGTAAAATTATTCAAAAACATAAATAAATTTATTTTTAAATAAATATTTAATCATTATTATTTGTCCATACGAATTAAGTTTATTGTTATTCTTACTGTAACTTCTTCAAAATTATTTTCATCACTTCAATTCAATTATTATTTTCTAGAATTTTTAACTAAAATTCTTCTTGAATCAATTATTTTTAATAATTTTTGAAAAAGTTCTTCGAGAATTTTCAAATTCAGTTGTTTATAATTCAATTTTATGAAACTTCATCGATTATTAGTAAATTCTTTAATTAAATATATTTTAGAATTAATAATTGAAATTCTGCGTTGAATTTTATTATTTATGAAAATAATGGAAACATTTCGAAGAAATTTATAAAAAATTTGTAAATAATTGAATTCCTGAGAAATTTTTATTATTTATAAAAATAACTAAATGTTTGCGTGAAATTTTATTAAAATTTTTTTTTATACAATTGAATTCTTCTCGAAAGACTTGAAATTTTACTAAGAATTTTATTAAAAATTTTTGAAAATAATTGAATTTTGGAAATTATTTTATTAATTGATAAAGATAATTGAAATTTTAACGAGAATTTGAAAACAAATTTCAATATAATTGAATTTCTGCGAAGAATTTTATTACTTTTGAAAATAATTGAATTTCTGCGAACATTTGTAACTTCTCCAGAATTTTTTTATGAATTCTAAAAATTTAATTTTTTCCAATACTTTCCCTGATTTTTCCCTAAATTCCCTGATCTGTGTCAATCTCGGAAATTATTTAACTGGATTTTAAATAATTAGAGAAAATACATAAATAAATAAAAATAAAATAGTAATATCCAAATAATTCAATAAAAATATCTGAATAATTAAATAAAAATAGTTAAATAATTGAATTAGATGGAGTTTAAATTGAATAAGTAAAATAATTTGACTAGACTAACTTTGCCTATAGCCCAATAAGGGCATCTTTCCTACAGGTGTGCCTCGTGAATTCATGAATTTGTCGACGTCTGACAAAAACTTTTTTTCCTCGACGCTCATTTTCCGTTCGCTACGACGAACTCCCGAGGAAGATGATCTACTGATCAAGGAGTTTGAGGAAGAGACTTTGGACGTCGATGCAACTACAGACGAAGCAACCGATGCTTCACTTTCATTGCTGGATTCACCTGGTGAGACACTCCGCTTTTTCCGTTTTCTTCGAGGCCTCCCTTTTAATTTCGGAGCTAAAAACAATGTGAAAAATTAATATTTACTCACATTTATACAATAATTATCTAAATAATTAATATTCAGATAATTACAATTTTATGTTAAAATAAAACATTTGAAATTTAAATAAAAATAAATAAAGTAAATAAAAATAAAATAAATTAGTAAATAAAATAAGTGAACAATAATAAAAATAAAATAATATTAGCAGCAAATTTTTTTCCACATTTTCCTTGGAACAGGAAAATAATTGCTGCTGGAGATCTCTTTCTCTCTCTCGTTTAGTAATTCAGAGAGCAGGTTAGAAGTTACCTAAGTGATTGCAAAGTAGTTCGTGTGTTTCAAGGTCAGGATAGTCGAAGGTATCTCTGCAAAAAAGGATCCTTGTACCAGGCGTAGCGGTGAAACCGCCCACCGCTGCCGCTATCGATGTCCATAGCCAAGAAGGTTCCGATCCTTCGAGCCTTCGAAGAAGCGATCGATATCGACAATATCTCGGATATGAGAGTACAATAACTTTTGTTTGTAAACTGGCATCAAATTGTTTTATTGGATTGTGATTGCTCTCATATTCCTGTTGTTGTTTGTCAACGTCCGTGAAATCGATACCTGGATCCGTCAAAACTTGAGGTTGACCAACATCGTGATTTGTCGGTGTGTTTTCGGGTGAACTCAATGGAGTTGGTGGATACGACACTTCCCTTCCCCAAGACCATTCTAACGAAGGTGCCAACCAAGTCACAAGGTCGTGAACACGAACGACAACCTTCTCCGATATCGTCAGCACTTCATCCTGCAAAACAAAAGGTAAATTTCATTTGTCAGTATTTCAAAATCAATTTATATTTATTTCTTATTATTTATACTATTATTGGACAACAGTCTGATTTTATTAATATCGATGATTATAATTATTAATAATTAATTTTTTTGCACTTCGTTTAACGCAACACGTCAAGATCTGTAAAAAAAACAACGAAAACAACAAAGAAACATAACCTCAATTATGATTGTTTATATTATTGACAACTACCGCCCTCTCTATTACTTTCTTTCACTCTTTTAATTTACTTAATTAATTCTGCAGTTTGAATTATTTACATTTGATAGTCATTAATTGTTTAAACTTTATTTAGATTGATTAAAACGTTTTTTTAAAATCAAATTTAATAAAACATTAATTAAAATTAAAAATTCGTGAAAAACTTCAAATTTGGTGCCAAAATGTCTCAACCAATAGGAAGCGGCAAATTCTAGAAAAATTATTTCCATTAAACAATTTGTTATTTTGTTGTTAATTGTAAATAAATTAACATTTTGTCTAGTCATTAATTATTTAGACTTTTATTAAAAATGTTTAAGACGTTTAAAATCAATAATAATAAAATATCAATTAAATAAATTAAAAATCCATAAAGAATTGTCGGGAAAAAATTCAAATTTGGTGGCAAAGTATCTCGACCAATAGGAAGCTTTGAATTCGTCAACTTTCTTTTACCGTTAAACAATTAATAATTTTGTCGTTAATTTCGTGGTAAATTGTAAATTAATTCGTAAATTTGTTATTTGTTAACGAATGGTTATAGATTAGATAGCAATTAAGTGATTTGAAAGAAAATATGGTTAGGAAAAATAGAAAATATTCGATTTCCCGCCAAAAGTAACCCCTCCCCCATCACATTCTTCAGTAACCGTTAATGTTTATTGCTAACAGACACGCCCTGAATAATTACTCCGCATTTGCAACAATTATTATTACTTTAATCGCAAATTCATCTTTAGAAACATTTCACATTTCATTGTAAGTATCTTTTTTCATCATCAGTCATATTTTTTCGCTAAAACTATAACAATTTACATGCGAAATATTGCAAATTTTTTTGAACAAAATTTTTCCCTTGTGGCGTGTATTTAACCTAAAATTTCTTTAATTTAAATGTATTTCAACTATGTTCGCTATGTTCATTAGTCAAAATTCTATATCGGAAGTAAATTTTGATTAATATTTCAGTAACACGTGCCAAGAAAATTGTGAGATTAAGTTGCAATGATATACCGCGATATTTCATTATTGCCTGAATTGAGGTTATTAACACCCCGCGCGGTTTTCCGCCTCATTACCGCGCTCTCAAATTGTCAACACTAAAATTTTATTGTTTTTCCAATAATTTTCAATAATATTCATAATATTTTACACTTTTAGTGTTTGGAATTGAATTCCGGGAGTGATTTTACGTTCTATTTATGTACTAAAAACCGGATGTTTATTATTTGTTCGTTTTTTGTCATTCTTTCACTGTGCGGAGTCTGGATATTAAAAAATATCGATTTTATCGATTTACTGCAACTATTGGTGAAATAATCGTGTCGGGTGTTGATTATTAGTGTCAAAATTGTGCTCTTTGTAAAGAAAACGTAAATTGGAATAAATGTTAGAAATTTGTTATGATAAATTAGTTTTGACACAATTTTGAGGTTAGAAAGCTCCGATTTGTTTATTTTAACGACACAATGAAAATAAAGTTGGGGTTTTTTTTACTAATATATTGCACAGTTTACAAGTTTTCTCAATAATTATGTTTTCTTTTTATTTTTTCGCTTCGGAAAAAAATCTGGGAATATTATTTGAATATAAAATGTAAAATGTTTTGAAAATTTCGACAGAAAAGTAACTAAATTGTGTATTTCAGAAAATATTTATCAATCCTTTGGAGAATGGTAATAGCCAGAGCTGTTCAAAATTGATAAGAGGAGATCATTCTCAAGCGGAGACGTCAGAACCAAAGGATGCCTGCCGGTAGTTTTCAGAGAAGCGATTTACTAATAATCGAAGGAGAGAAATTCCCAATGGTGAGTCAAAATTTGTTTTTAATTTTTAGAAATAATTTATCTTCCTTTTCAAAACTTTTCATTATTTTCTCGTATATTAATTCCTCTTGGAATTAAAATAACAAATAAAGTAATTTTCCCTCAAACGGAATTTCAAAATAAAAACAAATAAAATTTTTGAAAGGAAATTTGATATAAATCCGCATCGATTAAAAAAATACAAACAATTGTTTAATTTCAAAAAAAAATAACAAAAAGTATAAATTGAAAATTAAATTAAATCCATAAATATCTTTTGATCGTAATTGGAAATACAGAGGGAAAAAAAATGATAGAGAGTGGAATGAAGTTGGAGAAAATTAATTTATTGAATGAGTGAAATTTTTTTTCTTTCTCTCTCTAATGGATTGATATTGACAAAATTTTTTGATTAATATTTAATTATATATTAAAATAAATGTCATCGTGTCATTTTCATTTGCCATAAAATTTAATATATATATGTATACATTGGTATTGTTATAAGCCAGAGCGCAGGTCAAATCAATTGATTTATTATTAACATGCGCGCGAGCTGAGGATCATGAATTCAATTTCCGCTTGAAATACTCGGATTTACTAGCTCTCTAGGCAATAAATTTTTAAGCTCTTTAAAAAGTATGGTCTCTTTAGCTTTTATAAAACTAATTCAAGCGTTCCTTTATTTAAAGCTGTGTGGTTTATCTACTTAATTAACATTCGAAAGTGCAATTTTTTTTAGAAGTAATCTCTCAACAGTGAGGACAATAAAAATAATTTTGCAAAACAATTCTACAATAATTATTCAAATTTTAATATAATTAAATAAATTTTATTATAAAAAAAATAATAAAATTATTACTCAAAGTTAAAATTAAATAAAAATAACAAAATAACTTTTATTATATAAGAGTAATAAAATTATTATTAATTAATAAATATAAATTCAAATTAATATTATATGATAATTAAAACTAATAGTAATAAAATATAAATAATAATAATAATAATAATAATAATAATAATAATAATAATAATAATAATAATAATAATAATAATAAAATTAATAATAAAATAATTTTTTTTAATTAAAATATTCACTAAGTAATTATTTTTTTAAAAAGTACAAAAAATAGATATTATTTCAAAAATTACAAGTATCACAATATATATATTTTTTTGCGTTTAAAAGCAGAATAAAAGCAAAATTCAGACTTGCTTTCAAACATGCAATTAGGGAAGTGAAATCTGACTCGACCCCTTTGAATGAAGAAGGGAGAGAATCGACGAAAAAAGACCAACGAAGCGTATTAAGAACATTTTTTACAATAATAAAAAAAGAAACATCTGAAATTAATTTTATTTTTTATTGCAAATATTCTCCTTTTTTATTATTTGTAAATATTTTTATCACATTTATTTATTTCGAGTCAGATGGATTTTGAAAACATTCAGAATTTATTTATTCGTTTTTTAATATTTGAAAAAAAAAAGATTAAAAAGTTGAAAGAAATGAATAAAAAAAAAAATTAAATAAAGATAGAAAGTAAAAATAATAATTTTTTGTAATTAATATTAAAAACCAAATTATTATTTTTATTTTTATATTTATTTAAAAACAATAGATAGAGAAATAAAAATAAACTGAATCCATATTTATTAAATAATATTTTTATTTTCTTCATATTTTTATTATTAATTTTATTTTGTTTCTACTAAATATAATTTTTCTTGAGAAAAGTTTCAACGATAAAAAAAAATTGTCAATAACACTTGATCCATTAATTATTAATTTTTTACGCCTTATTATTATTATTATTATTATTATTATTATTATTATTATTATTATTATTATTATTATCATCAACGCAATATTTCTTTCGATAGAAATAAATTACAAAAGTTTTTCAAAAATTTTCAATCAAAAAATCAATTTATAACTCATTACTGAATGTGTTACTTTATGATTTCTCGCTTCTTTTTTTCTTTTCTCATTTTTTTTTTGTTGTCTTTTTTTTGTCTTGCATTTCTCTCCCTTGTATCTTTTCAAACACGAAAACCCCTTCCACATTACCCTTCTTCTGTCTGGTTTCACTACCAAGAAGAACTTCAAAGTTGAAATCCTCCCCTCATTAATAATTGTAGACGAAAGGTGCAGAGAAATTAAATGATATTTAAGGAGGAGCTCATAAAATCATAAAGCAGAAAAATATATATGTATATAGTCGAAAAAAAATATTCTTGATAACACTTTAGCTCTAGGATAAAGTGTAAAAAAAAATGGGGGAGAAAAAATTAAAAATAGTTTATAATATCGAGAATAAATAATAGGATGAAAATAATGATGGAAAAAAATACTAAGCTTCTCTCCCTTGTTCTAATTTTTTTTCATTTTAATTAATATTAATTTTTTAATTTTAAAAAATTTTAATAAACAATGGTTAAAATAATAATTTTAAAAATTTGAATTAATTATCAGTTATAAACTTTAATTATTAATTATCAATTATCAAATTTCGATATTCATTTTTCCATTATCAATTAATTATTATCAATTTTCAAATTGGTTTTTCGACAATCAATTTTGAATTTTGAATTATTAATTATCAATATTTAAATTTCGATACCTATTCAATTTTTAATTATTAATTATCAATTTTCAATTTTTAATTATTAATTATCAATTTTTAAATTTCGATATTCAATTTTCAATTATTAATTATCAGTTTTCAAATTTCGATATTCAATTTTCAATTACCAAGCTTCAATTTTCAAATTTCGATATTCAATTTCAATTATCAATTTTCAAATATCATTATTCCATTTTCAATTATCTATTATCAATTATCAATTATTAATTCACAATTTTCAATTTTCAATTTTCAATTTTCAATTATTAATTATCTATTTTCAAATTTCGATATTGAATTTTCAATTTTAATTATT